GAGGAAAATGAGGAGAGTTTAAATTGATTTGCCAAAGATCAACCGAACAGTGTAAAGACAGAGGGCCCCACACTTGTACCCGCTGAACCGCAAAATCATACTACTAGTTATTAATAATAGCCAACATTTATATGGTGCTTGTTTTGCAAAGAGCTTCACAAAAATTGTCCCATTTTCCTCCCTCACCACAACCCTGGGAGGCAGGTGCTGCTATTACTCCCACTTTACAGATGTGGAAAATGAAGCAGAGATTAAATAGCTTGCCTAGAATCACACACCTAGCAAATATCTGAGGCTGGGTTGGAACTGAAGTCTTCCTAACTCAAGAGGTCCAGTGCTCTACCCACTGTACCACCTAACTGCCTCATTAGTTATAACATCATAGACTCTTACAAGAAGACGTAAAAGAACGAAAAAGTTGGGAATTTACAAGTTTCACATCTACATATCTATTCTGGAGAATTAGCAGAGAAATAGCAACTTGTTTCTGTCCTTCAATGGTTTCTTCCATAACTTGAGGTTATTTTCCAAATACTGAGATACAACTGAGCCCATTTGTTTTCTAAAGTAATCATAGGAAATAGTGTATTTGTACTTTAACCTTACATGGATGATGTAGGTATAACTTAAAAAAACAATTGGCTCAAAACATCGATGGACTCTAATTGTAAATACGTGTTGTTTCTCCCTTTAAAGAAGGGACCAATTGTACAAGAACCAATAAGAAAAGTCATATATTAAACACAAGCTATACTTGAGCGCTATCACTAATTGGATAAGTTTTCACGTGCATGAAAAATTAACCAAGGCTATTTTTGACTAGAGGTGGGCAACCCTTCAGAAGTGGGGTGCCGAGTTTCTGCTTGCTATTCTTCTGGTGAATGAGCATGGTGGACGCAGTAATGACAACCTGTGTGAGGTGGACCACAGAATCACAGAATGTCACAGCTGGAAGACACCTCAGGAATCACCTAGTCCAGCTGAGATTGGACCCAGAATCTTCTGAAAACATAACCAAAAAATGGCTAGCTAACTTCCACCTGACAACATCCTATAAGGGGGAACACAGCCCTTACTCCCACATCCACATGGACTGCTAAAACAGCTTCCTAATGAGTCTCTCTGCCTGCAGTCTTAGCCATTCTCAACCATTCTTTACCCAACTGCCAAAGAAATTGTCCCAGCATGGAATTTGGATGATAGAATTGATAGAACTCTGGTGACGCTATTGCTTTGCTCCCCACCCCTACTGCTTATAGAATAAAGTCCATACTGCTAAGCCTAGCATTTAGGTCCCCTCCATGCCCTGGTGCCTCCCTTCCTCCCTCCCTTTCCAACCTTATTTCACACACTGCACATTCTATACTCCAGCCAAACTGACCTATGTGTTATCTCTTTAGTATTTTCACCCTGGGGGGCAGCTAGGTGGCGCAATGGATAGAGCATCAGCCCTGAAGTAAGGAGGATCTGAGTTTAAATCTGACCTCAGACCAAACACTTGACACTTACTAGCTGTGTGACCCTGGGCAAGTCACTCAACCCCAATTGCCTAAAAACAAACAAACAAACAAAAACACAAGTATTTTCACCCCAAGGCTTCCCTTGGACCATTTCCTAAAACTCCCCTTGATCCCAAGTACTGAAATCCTCCCCATCCTTTAAACCCCACCACAGATGTTGACTCATTCTTTCAGCCTTCTCTGATCCATTCTTATTTATAAATGATCTATCCTTCACTAGATTTCATGCAGAGGTGTACTGGTAAATGTTTAAGAACCAGTTATCCAGAAAAAAAAAAAAAACAACTCAAGACACTGTTAAAACACTGCATTATTGACATTTTCTTAAGCCTAGACAATCAATAAAACAATCAATCAAGCTCTAATCTGTAGCATTTGCCAATTTCCAAAGTATAAGCTCACACTGAAAATATAGCAATCAACTTTCATGAGCTGTTTTGAGCTGGCTCTAGTACACCCCTGATTTACACAACATTTTATATCTTTTATTATATTAAGTATTACTGTTATCCCTTCCCCATCACGCCTTTTCTCCATTGCGGTTTCAATATATCAGAAGTTGGCATAAGAAATTAAATGGGAATTTTGGGGGAGTTTTGTGGAAGTGGCAGATAGCTTTCGACACAGAACCTATGATCAAATACTTAACCTCAATTTTACAATAAGGTACCATAAATACTCCATAAAAGAAAAAATTCAGACTTCTTGTCTGGTAAGATGGGAGGGCCAAAAATTTTATTGGATTTTCCAGATCGCAGAGGGCACCGCATCCCTAACCCCTGTGATGTGGAACTGTGTATCATCAAGTTAATAAATATTTGTGTATGGGACAGGCAGTATGGGATAATGAATAGGGTGTTGGAGCTGGAGTCAGGAAGGACTGAATTTGAATCCCACCTTCACTACTCACTAATTGTGTGACCATGGGCAAGTTAGGAAACTTACTTGAGCCTCGATTCTCATCAGTAAAAACGGGGTAATGATATCTATAATTCTTTCCTTGCAGGGTTGTGGCAAAAGCCAAATGAGATAATGGACATTTTGCAAATCTTAAAGTACTGTGTAGACTTTAAACATCGCTTGTTTTTACATATCAGGTAAAATGTGCAAAATGTAGAATGTGAGCTCTGTGAAGACAGGGACCAGGACTTCATTGTGTTTGTTTCTCCCCAATTAGCACAGTCCTTTGAAGAAAAAGGATATTAATAATGGTTGTGGAGCGGCATTTCTTAAAATGTGTTCCATTGGGGGGGGAGGGGCGCAGCGAGGTGGCTCAGTGGATAGAGCACTGACCCTGGAGTCAGGAGGACCTGAGTTCAAATCCAGCCTCAGACACTTGACACTTACTAGCTGTGTGACCTTGGGCAAGTCACTTAACCCCACTGCCTAGCCGCCGCCCCCCCCCCCCAAATGTGTTCCACAGACCTTTGTGGTATGCAGCAGAAAAAAAAACACTTGTAACAGAAAACAACCATATGCAAGAGAAGGAAAGGGGAGAAGAGGAATCAGAGAAAAAAAAAGTTGCTTTGCTGCCTGTATTGATCTCTCATGATCTGAGGTAGGGGGCACTGCGCCACAGTGGCAGCTGGTAGTCAGAAAGCTTTTTCTTCTCACGACTGAGGGCTATTTTCGATAAGGCTGCTGCCTGTCATAAAACCTTGAGTAAGATCATAGAAGCAGTGACTGAGATAGGATTAGAACCTGGGTCTCCAGACAGCCAGTTCAGTGTTCTTTTCCACTATATCATACTTCCTCTGTTATGGTTTTGTTCATAAGTTTCTTTTTGACAAAGCAGAAAAGTGGGTGACTTGGTGTTAATGTACTGAGCTATTCCATAGATGGGTTTGCCTATGTTTCTAGCGAGGGGGTGTCAATTCAATAGAAGCTGTATCCCAGAAAGGAAACCTGAAAGGAAACTGTGCCTTGGGTGTCTCTGACAAAGAGATTACACAGAATTGGAATTCACAGATACAAAGGACAGTGGAAACACAATACTGCATTACTGAAATCGTCAAATTGTTTTCCTCCTCTTCCTCCTATTCTTTTGTAATTCCATTTGTTCCTGAACATCTGGTGAGCCTATAACCAATACACGGGACTTACCTCCAGTGAAATTATTTCTGTCTGGGAGGGTTATTTAAATGTCCCATTATAATCACACCTTTCTGACTTAAGAAGGCTGATCAACACAACGACCACCCACTATTTGAAGACTGAAGATGAAGCGTGCTACCCGCCCACCTCTTGACAATAAGGGAATGGACTCATGGTACAGAATAAGACACGGACTTTGGCCAATGTGTGAATATGTTGACTTTGACTATGCATATTTGTTCTTCCTTAGTGGGTGCAGTGGTAGAATAAGATGTGGGTAAGAGAAAATAAATGCTTGTTATTTGAAAAAATTATTTTTTTAGATTATACCTTCCTAAAGAGGGATTCTTGGCTGTCAAAACAAGAATGCCACCTTAAAATCCTTCTTGATGTCTGAAATATCAGATCTTTAAGTTCACAGTAAAGTCAGCGTAAGTGAAATAATGTTGTTATTCATTATATAGTAAGGCTGTTCCACAGGAGTTGTAACTTCACCAGGTGTGGTTACCTGGCGCTATTTGTTGGTTTAGGGCAGGTGACTCTTATGAATGAAAGCACTTGGGAAGCTACATTCACTTTCAGGCCATCCTATTCACTAAGTGTTGGTATACTAGTCATGGTGTCTCTACCGAAAGGCTCCGGATCATTCTTCTCTCATCTTCTTACCTTCCTTCAGTTATGTGGGATATATCACATTTTTGAGCTAATATTTTTTCAAAATTAAATTGTATTTCTAAATTAATATCCATTTTTCCTCTCCTTCTTCTTTATCTATGCTCTACCCGAGAAAAAGAAAAAGAAAGCCTTTATAACAAATATGCATAGTCAGCCAAAACAAATTCTCATACTGGACTTGTCCATGTCTCATTCTGCACGTTGTCTGCTACCTCTCCGTCAGGAGGTGGGTAATATTCTTCATTATTGGTCCTCTGGAATCATGGTCGGTCATTGTATTGGTCAGAGTTCTTGTGTCTTTCAGGGCTGTTACTATAGTATAAATTGTTGCTTGATATAGTACTTTAAAAAAAAGTAGCTCAGGGTAAAGAAATCAAAAGGCAAAGAGAATTCTTAACTCACTAGGAAGGCCAAATGGAAGAGGAGCAGACAGACAGAAAGACAGAGATAGAGAAAGAGAGCCAACAAAGAGACGGTTTATCCCTTCTCCATCATAGCCTTTGGTTGTTAATAATGTGATGGCATGTCACACTTCTTGGGCACTGAAGTCAATAATTTCCCCTGAGTCAATAACTATGAGAATTCTCCCCCAGGAAGGTGAAAGAGACGGATTTGCCCTGGGTGACACTGGAATGTCCCTGATTTACCCAAGGAATCCAGGGTTCTGAAAAACTCCTCCCTTTCCCACAACAGTAGATTGGAGGTAATTACCTTCTGAAAAAGCCTTCTTCACTGCAGCCACATAGATTTCAGGCTCATCTTCATAAGTGAGCTCCTGCCAACAAGCCCAGTCCTCAAAGAATCCCGAGAAATCTTCACAGTCGTCTACTCCACAGAACAGCTTCAACACCCTATGGGGAGGGCACAGGGCATTCTGAAGGCTGGAGAGCACGTCAGGTTGATAAAAGTTCTGGACTAGTTCAAATGATAGGAGTACAATGATACATCGACTGTTAAGGAAGAGGGTCAGGTCTCTAGTGGAGATGGCAGCCCCGTGTCTCAGTTCATAGGTCAAGATGTGCTGGTTCCGAATCTGACAACTTGAAAGGAAAAGATTCTGCAGATACTGACACCATTCTTGGGCATCTAAACTGTGGACAATTAAGATATCACAGCTCCTGGGGGTTCCTGTAAAAGAATAAGACAAGTCTACGTTATTTACTTTGTTATTTTTTTTTTGAGGCAATTGGGGTTAAGTGACTTGCCCAGGGTCACACAGCTAGTAAGTGTCAAGTGTCTGGGCTGAGGTCACATTTGAACTCAGGTCCTCCTGACTCCAGAGACGGTGCTCTATCCACTGCACCACCTAGCTACCCCTACGTTATTTACTTTGAACAACAACTACAAAAAAAGTCGCCCAAGTATTCAAAAATTAATCAGTGCTCTGTTTTGTTTTCTTTTTCCAGTCAGTGTTTTTTGAATTACTTATATGTGTCCAGGATTGTGCTAGTTACTTTGAAGGTGGAACAATGCCAGGGAAGATGGCCCTTGCACATGAAGACTTTACAGTCAAGCTGGGGAGACTTGACATACACACACAAAACAATCATAGAGCAAGATAGTATTGGGGTTGGACTATGCGAAAGTCAAGATCCCTTCTGGTTCTAAACCCAGGAACCTGTAAGTACTAAATCCTATCACATCCAAAGATGAAAGAATCCAGTCTGAACCAGAGCAGTCAGGGAGAGGCTTCATGGAAGGGGTGGTACTTTAACTAGACCCCAAAACACGGGCACAATATGGATAAGTAGACAAAAAAGGGAAAGTTTTTTTAAAATTTATTGATACATTTTGTTTTGACACAAAACAATTCCCAAAGACCCTTCCAAAGCAGATGTTTTGTTCACAACTATTAGTTTATCGTTAGTTCATAGAAAGTGCTTGTCTATTGGAGAATGGCAAAAATGGTTAAAAAAAAAAAAAAAAAAAAGATACAAACAACCCATTTTCAAAAGGAAGGAAATAAACTATACCACCTGAAGTGCTCAAAATCACTAATAATCAGACAAATGAAAATTAATACAACTCTGAAGTATCATCCACTGGAACTGTCAGGCTCACGAGGATGCTAAATGATGGCAAAACTCACTGTCATAGGGGCTAGTGGAATTTATGTCTAATGGAAGTGTGAATTGGTTTAACCCTTCTGCAGAGCAATTTCGAATGAAACAATAAAGTTACCTAGACGTCTGATTGCTGGGTTTATGTTCTAAGAAGTCACTGAAAGCAAGAAAAGACTAATATATGCCAAAATGGCATTATTTGTGATGACAAGAAAGATGGAAACAATATACATGCCCAGGAGTTGAGGAATAGGTCGAACAAATTATGGTATGAAAATTTAACGGAACTACTGCTGAACTGTAAGGAGTGAGGAATATGAAGAATTCAGAGAAAAATGGGAAGACGTAGGAAGTGACACAGGATAAGGAAAACAAGTCACGAGAACACGTACAGTGGCAACAACAATGTAAATAAAGTTAATATGGTGAGGCAGCCAAACTCAGGCCACATACAATGTTTATCTCATCTATATTAGTACAGTGCTATGAGAGTTCAAGGACACATACCTTCTTTCTGTTAACAACTGATAAACTGATAGCTGTGAACAAAACTTATGCTTTCTAAGAGTCTTTGGGAATTGTCTTCTGTCAAAACAAAATGTATCAATGAATTTTTTTAAAAAAACCACTTTCCCTTGTCCTGTCTGCTTATCCATGCTGTACCCATGTTTTGGGTCTAAAGCACCCCTCTTCCATAAAGCCTCTGACTGCTCCAGTTCAGACTGGAGTCTTTCATCTTTGGATGTGACAGGATTTAGTACTTGTAGGTGCCTGGGTTTAGAACCAAAAGGGACCTTAGATGTTATGTAGTCCAACCCCAATATTATTGTATTCTATGATTGTTTTGTGTGTGTGTATGCCAAGTCTCTCCAGCTTGACTGTAAGGTCTTCATGGGCAAGGGCCATTTTTCCTGGCATTCCTCCACCCTCAAAGTAACTAGCACAAAGATGTCTCTAAATAATCTCTCTAAATAAAATGTTGATTCAAAGAATTAAATTTTAAATGCCAAAATTTTATCGGTTGTTTAATGCAAAGGTCTCCAGTTAACATATTTTATTTCTTTCATATTTTTCTTCTGATTCTAATGGCATTAATCTTATTTTACAAAAGCTTTAAATTTTATATGAGGCTAATTTTTATGATCTTTTGTATCCCATGTCTGATAAGAAATTTTTCCTCTATCCATAACTGTGAAAACTGCCACTGTCCTTTAACATTTGCATAATGTGATTTTATTTACAAATAATTTATCCATTTGTTACTTATTGTGCTAGGGCAGCTGGGTGGCACAGTGGATAAAGTGATTGCCCTGGAATCTGGAGAACCCAAGTTCAAAATTGATTTCAAACACTTACTAGTTACAGGACCCTGGGCAAGTCACCTAACTTTTTTGCCTCAGTTCCTCATCTGTAAAATGGGCTGGAGAAGGAAATGGCAAACATCTCCAGTATCCTTGCCAAAAAAAACCATCATGAAGAGTTGGGATTGATTGAACAACAGATTCTTTGTTTTACTGCTCCCTGGTTCAAGTATCAGAGCCACATTTGTCTCATAGAAGGCTCATGATGAATTATCTTCCTTCTTTATTTTTGCAGACAATTTATATAGCAAAAGATTTTTTGTTTTTTGAATATCTGATAAAATTCATTTGTGAATGAATCAAGACAAGGTTCATTCTCTCCCTTTACCGCCGCTCCCCCCCCCAACCCCGGCCACCTTTGAGAGTTAATTCATGGCTTGCTAGATTTCTCTTTCTAAGGTTGGTTTCAATTCTCTGTTTCCTGCTTTGTTGATATAGATATTTTATGTTTTTATAATTATTCATCCATTTTATTAGTTTTCCATTTTGTAGTCACATAATTGGGCATAACACATGAAATAATTTTCATTTTCTCCTCATTCTTTGTGAATTCCCCTTTCTCATTTTTATCATGCACATTTAATTTTCTTCTTCTCTTTTTAATCAAGTTAGCAAATGGTTAATCTAGTCTATTGTTTTTTAAACAACTCAGTATTATTAATTTAATACTTTATTTTTAATTTTGTTTATCTCATCTTTGATTTTTAAGTGTATATAGTTGTGCTTGCTTTGGGTTTTTCAATTTGTTGATTTTTTTTAGCTTTAAAAAAAAGTATGTGCTCAATTCATTGATCTTCTCTCTCTTGTTGTTTGTTTTTTGTTTTTTTTTTTTTTTTGGTAAGGCAATTGGGATTAAGTGACTTGCCCAAGGTCACACAGCTAGTACGTGTCAAGTGTTTGGTCTGAGGCCAGATTTGATCTCAGGTCCTCCTGACTTCAGGGCCAGTGCTCTATCCACTGCGCCACCTAGCTGCCCCTCTCTCTTGTTAATATAGATATTCAGAGACATATTTTCCTCTAAGGATTGCTTTGGCTACATTTTATAAGTTTTAGTATATTGTCTCATAGCTTTACCATCTTATTGAACATGATTTATTGTTTCTATGACTTTACTCACCCATTCCTTCTTTTCCCTACCCCCCACTCTGTGCGAATCACCATTTTGTGGCTGTGTTCAATCATTTTCAGTTGTTACTGACACTTTATTACCCCGTTTGGGGTTTTCTTGGCAAGGATACTGGAGTGTTTGCCATTTCCTTCTCCAACTTATTTTACAGATTAGGAAAGAGAGGCAAACAGAGGTAAGTGACTTGCTCAGCGTCACACAGCTAATAAGTGTCTGAGACCAGATTTGAACTCTCAGGAAGATTCATCTTCCTGACTTCAGGTCCAGCGCTCTATCCACTGCACCATCCAGCTGCCCTTCCCAACACTGATTTTCTCCAAAAGAATACCAAGAAGTTGCCCACGGTTAAAAGTATTTATTTCTTCTTAGTAGTATTATGCTTTGCTTTGCAGAATAAGTTGGATGCAATCCATTTTTCTTTGCTTTCTGATGTAAGATTTCGAGCTTTCCTTTCCACTTCTTTCTGACTGCTTGCGAAGGCCTCAAAGTTTAAACAGGTTTTATAGGCAAGTTGGCTTCTCCTGTTCATATTGCTGCTACATATTCCTATAATATAAAATCTCTGCTTTCTGGAAAATCTCCTCTGACAGCAGAGGTTTCTTAACATTTTTGTATATCCGGTGTCCCTTTGGCATTGTCACGAAGCTTATGGAACCCTTCTAACAAGAATCTTTTTTTAAATAATCAAAAGAAATGCAATATTTCACTTGGAGGTTAATTAAAATAAAGATGTAAATGTTTTTTCCACATTCAAGTTCACAGAACCTCTATAATCTATCCATAAGAGTCCATGGTGTCCATGGACCTTTGAGGCCCTGTCATTGAGCTTTTAAAGGTATCACACATTTACGTGTTGTTTATGTAGTACAAACTAATGGATGGATGGATAAAGAATGTTTTTCTTACTATTTCTAGCATCATTTTTGTGCCTTTTCCAGTAAAAGATCATACTGACCTTTTGCCAAACAGCTATGGTAGGCCTGCACAATCTATGACCTGCGGTTGTGCCAAAGCATTTTGGCTGGCCCACGAAAAATGTAGAAGATGTTTCCCTCTACATTTTTCATGATCTGGCCAAAATCCTTCGGTGGGTCGCAGGTTGTGCAGGCCTGAGACATGGAGTCCATCATACGGAAGCAAAATTACTTGCCCAGTAATATTTTTATTTTCCTGCCCCTCAAATGCTATCTGATTAGGTCAACCTACAAATCAGGGTATTATTTCATAGGCAATGTGTTATTAAACAGCTAACTTCATGAGAAAAATTGACTTTTCACTGGGACATTTGTGAGTTATCCCATTTCACAATAACTTGAAATATAAAATGACTAATATTGAATGTGCTGAGAATTTGGGTCAAAGTCAAACTCTAAGAAGAATGCCACCTTAAACCAGTCTCCCTGATAAGGGTCTCATTTCTAAAATTTAGAGAATTAAGTCAAATTTATAAGACTGCAAGTCATTCCCCAATTGATAAATGGTCAAAGGATATGAACAGGTAGTTCTCAGATGAAGAATTAAAGGTATCTATAGTCATATGAAAAAACGCTCTAAATCACTATTGATTAGAGAAATGCA